CTTCCATTACTTGCCATCTAATTAAAAACTTGAATATTTTGACTCCTGGAAACAATGATACTGCCTCAATCAAACCTTTTTTTTTTTAAACCCTAGTTGTATTACAGTAATTTTCCACTTCATTGTGTAGCAGTGCACATCCAGATAGAGTCATATCTGGAGTCGAAGGGGCAATTGAATCCAGTTGCAAAGCTATAGAAGACACTGCGTCCTGAACTCAACAACCCTAGACTGCTGGTTAACATTGAAATTTGGGGAACAAAACATCCTGGAAGATGAGAAAATAAGACAAAACCGAACTGTATTGTGATATGCGAGTAACTATTCATCAACTGATGTGTACTGCAGACAAAACTAGCAACCAATATCAGCCTGGAAACAAGATTAAAAAAAACAGCGTTTGTACTTGGTTGTAAGCACTAGGAAACGTAGCTTACAAAAATTTCCATAGGAGGAAATGCATACACAAATGAAATAATAATTAAAAAAAAAACACTGATATAAAAATGTAAAAACACGGCACAATTATGAATGGTCTCATGCAAAGTCAGTGAATAGATATAGAAAAAATGAGTTGCTAAAATACCACCAAAATAATACACAGTGGTGTTTCGTTACTAAACGAATCTCTGTTTTTGAACAAGTTGGTTGAGTGAATGATTCAATGACCCATTCATAAAGACACTTTCTTCATTCCTGAACAAATCAGCCTTATTTGAATGAATTGGTTGAATGAATGAGCTGACGGCTTTTCAATGACCTAATGTCAATAAAGAATTATGAAGATGAAATATGACACATTCATTTAATTGTCCTTAAACAATAAAAAAGCCCCATAAATTATTCAGTCATTTCTGTCACTCCTGTACAGGCAATGAAGGTTTCTGCTTCCTGACATTGATAAGGTCTCTCAACTCATCTTGTTTCATTACTTCTTTTTTTTTAGAAATGCAACCGCAAACCTGCAGCATGTTTGCTCACAGCCTATTAATAACAGTTTCCTTTCTGCAGCAGCACAATGACGGCTTCAGAGGCAAACCTGAGGGCATTAAACTTTCATGTAAGGACTAACATTCAGCGCTCAGCGTTCACCCCTCCCAGCACTCTCCTCTCACACTTTCTCTCCTTTCATTCGTGACAGCTTTGATCCTTGGCGCCTGACTCACACAACTAGCATTTGTAGCATTTAATGCATTCTGATCGATAACTGAGAGAATAAAAACTCTTCTCAGTTTAATGAATTTGACCTTTGAATTTGAAATGTATTTCGTTTATTGACAAAAGTAAACTTACTGTGGGAGGGAGGATCTTGGAGTCCTAATGCATATGTAAGTTAAACCACTTTATCTGACATTATGTTTCCGACTATATATATACATATATATTGTGCATATGCTCTAGTAAACATGTTCCAATATTTGAAACAGTTCGACAAGTCCATCATCAGAAACACTGAGTGAATCAACAGTGAGGGAAACAGAGGCATAGAGCCGCGAAGATATTTTCCTTTTTCATTTTCTGACTCCGAATACTGTCGTTCTGCATGATCAAAGGGAGAAAAAAATGAAGATGTGGAAATTCTGAAATGCCACAAATGTCAATTGACTGAGTGTTTCCTGTGACATTAAACCCGTTAACCTCTATGTTGTTATTTTGTTTTCATCTATTCAATCAAAAGGCAATTTTAATGCAAGTTTGCGACATTGTTTGACACACCACATCAGCTTCTGGTATAAACCCGGGGTTGAGATCCAATGGTGCATGTGCAAACATCACGGGCACGTGAGCAATAGCGAGACACATGCATGCATTTCATTTACTGTACATAAATTCCTTCACACCAGCAGCATCTATATTGTGAGGTGATCGTTCTCATAGTCACAGTGATACTAAGTTAGGAGCTATAAACTGGGGTGCACAGATCTTTTTTGGTCTGGTTTCAAGGGTGCACCTTGTTATGCTTGGTACTCACACTAAAAAAAGTTGACATGCCTTGACATTGTTTTTGTTTTTTTGCTTACAAACATATTAATAGCAAAAGTGTATTCAGCACAAACTGGGCTACCATAATATGTGACCAACATGTATGTACATGTTTGTGTTTTTGAGAGAATAACGTTTATATGTGGTTATATAAAAAAATGAAGACACCGACAATACTAAATATTATCCACAAGACAGTTAAAAATCTCCAATTGCAGTCACAAAGACAGTGATGAGCAAAATACACCATTCACGTACACATGGAACACCTGGGTCACAGTGGAAATCTGTTATTTATGAAAATAAACTAAATTAGGCTTTAAAAATGCTTCAGAAATATTTAAAATGCTGCACTATTTCTATGTCAGTCCTCAAAGTGATTGATGTGAAATGATTATGCTTAAATAAAACGTGTTACAGTATAAAATTCTAAATGCATTCAATTAGTCACTTAATGACAAAAAGTTTACCAATTTCTTCAACAAACCCGTATAATTTAATTTAGGAAAGCCTTTCAATAGCTCAGCTCCTAGCAGCAATAAGATTTAATGGACAATAACAAAGACAGCTAACAGCTGTTTCTCAGATGTTTCTCCTCAGATAAAGGTCCCACTATGGAGATTGAAAAGGATCGGTCATGTGCTCAGATTTGCCAAAATGCCAAATTCTGCAATCAAAAGGCAGAGATCTCAAAATGAATTGAAACGTTTCACAACACATTATTCCAAAAGCAAATGATCTGTGCTATAATATCCATATGCACTTTTATAGCTCATTTGCCAGTAAGGAATGAATTTGTCACTTAGAGGAAACCCATGCCAAATCTGCCCATAGTGACACATTTGGAGAATGTGTTTAATAAAAATATGTTGACAGATTGACGTTACAACTAATGGTCATGAACATTTTTTTTTTTTTCGTGATTTGCAAAGATTAATACAAAGGTTGGTACCAATTCTATTTTCAGGAGCAGCTTCTCAGCAAAACCAGCTTATACTGACCCTCGGACCCAGCGTATCAACAATGACGCACTATGATGACAGCTCGCTCAGGGCGGGGATGTGTTGAAACGCTGCTGTCAATCAACAATCGTGGGCGGGGCGTCCGATTTAGTGACGTCACGCGGTCGAACGGCTCGACCGTGAGGCAGGGGAAAACATATAAGGAGATTAAAACAAAAACACTGGATGGATTTTTAGCATTGTATGATTGTTGAGTACAGGCACCGCCAACACACATTTCAGTACAACCAACTTGAAAACGTGCTTGTACCATTATATGACCCCTTTAAATAAAATAACACTGGCATCACACATGAAAAAAAAATACAATTTGGATGGGGGGTGGGGGTAAAAATTGGTATTGAACAACATATTTTTTTTCAGTGAATACTTAAAGTGCAATATATAAAATAGTAAAGATAAAAGTAGTAAATGTTAAGTTCGCTTAAAGAAAACTTACAAGCATTCTTGCAGTATAAAACAAATATTAAAATATTAGTATTACTGAGTATTCTTTAGAGTATTCTTTAAATTGTACATTCATAAACTTAAAATGGGTTAGAAACATATGACTAGTGAACTAACAATATACCTACAGTATATGTTCACTGGTGTAGTTCTAGAAAAAAGAACGAAAAACGTAGATTTAAACTAGTCCAATTCAAAATGGTCTACTGCTATATTTAAAGTACTTTAAAAGTGCACTTTTATAAACTAAAAAGTTGTCCAGTTTACTCTCAACAGTATTGCAATAGTACACATAGAAGTATATTATTAGTGCACTGATATTAGTACACTTGGAAAATATACTTTATTTTAAGCATATTTACTTTATTTATTTATTTATTTTGTATTTTTAAAGTATTTAAAGGGGAACTTGGCAACTATTTCAACTTTATAAGTTTAATAACCTGTTCTGGAGAGAATGCTGACTTTCCCCGCTCCCCCCCCCAGCGTTCCCAGGCGGAAAACCAACCTTGCAACATGGGGACTAACGTCCCGGTAAGTTATATAGAAGTCTCGTGAGAAGCGAGAACGAGTGAGAAACACAAACTCACTGGCACTTCGTATGATGTATGACCCACCTCGGTGGACATAGCTCCACACGATAAAGTTGGCCGGCTCCGATAATAACAAGCGCCTAAGCAGAGGTAGAAAATGCCGCAAGTGAGTTTTTTTTTATGACAGTGTTGTGAAAATATACGCCGCACAGCTGTAGGGGGAGCTCGATGAGAAAACGTGTCAACAAAAGTGAAAATCAGCGAAGAAATGACTAGAGTTGCCAAGTTCCCCTTTAATAGGCTATTCTATCAAAAGAGTACAAGCCATAGAATAATTAGACTTTTCTTAAGTCTGATCAAAAGTTCAAGTAAAAGAAAGCCAAATATACTTGTATACTACAGTATGTATACTTGTAGTACAATTCTTAAGTATATCTCAATCAAAAGATCAAGTACAAGACTAAGCTAAGAATACTGAGGTATGTTTATTTGTTTATATTATTATATGGATACTTAGATTTGTTAAAGTTAAACGAAATGCTGTCACAGTCTGTCTTCTGCACCAGTCTGTCTCGAAATCTGCACTACACTTCCCAGGATCCTCTTGTCTCTACTCCCGAACTCACTCCCTCATCAGCCACCTGTTCCTCGTCTGTTCATCACTTTCACCTGTTTGCACATCATTATGTTTGATTCCCCTGTGTATTTAGTTCCCTCGGTTTCCCTCAGTCTTTGACGATCGTTATGAATGTATCTGAACGTCTGTACCCATGTCATCCGTTTGTGAGAGAATTCCTGTCTGTTTTTGGTTCCATTGGATGTTAAAGTTTAAGTAAAGTGTTTGCATTGGAGTATCTGGCTCATCTGTCTTCTTCGTCTACCTGCACGTCCACCACACCCGTGACAAATGCATGGCTTTGTTTATTTTAAACCAACTTATGGGCAATCACTGAAATATGATGCATGCAAACTAGAAGCAAAAAAGTGCATAGAACAAATAAAAGATTGTATTTACCAGTATAGTGGACACCACCAGTGATCTGTTGGCGAGAGAGTCAGTCACATTGGCTGCCTTTCCCTTCTGGTTCTCCGTCATGTTTAAACCACTTGCATGATCCCATGTCCCAATCTGCAAAAAACAAACAAACAAAAAAAAACACAAAAATATATATATATATTCATAAATCTATGACATGATACAAAAAAAGAGAATGAATTTCTCAATAAAAATAACAAAGAGCACGTTCCATAGAATCTATAAAGCAGTTCCCTTTCGAGGGAGCTCAGTGCTAAGAGAGAATATTGACGCTATGCTTTTGTGTGTCTGCATCTGAAGCACTTGCCATCATCTAAACCGTACGGACTCTGGACTTACGGGTTCGAGATGCTAACGCTCATTGTGTTCCAAATCAAGTCTGGCAACTGGTTTGTTACAATAGAAGACGCTGACTTTCTCAATTCATCCTTCCTCAACTTCTTCAGGTTTGCTTTCGGGGGCAGTGTTTACCAATATCAGGTTCTTCCGTTCGGCCTAGCCTTGTTACCTCGCACCTTCGCAGAGTGCATGAATTCAGCTATTGCTCTTTTGCGATTCCAGGGAAATGCTCAATCGATTAACGACTGCTTTGTTCTAGCTCAGTCTGGGCACTTAGACTCAAACAAGAAAGTGCTTTGTCCATTACAGAGAACCTCTTTTCTAGAAGTGATATAGGCCTTGACTACGATGCAGGCACATTTCAAGCCAAGATCAGGCTAGGCTAAGCCGTCACTGTTTTCGAGACTGATGGGACTCATGGCAATCGTGTCCAATGTGATTCTTTTGGACCTTCTAAACATTAGACCGTTGCAGTAATGACTCAATGGGGTGGTGATGGCGCAGTGGATAAGACACATGCCTCTGGTGTGAGAGACCCGGGTTCGAATCCACTGTGAGACACCAATGTGTCCCTGAGCAAGACACTTAACCCCTAGTTGCTCCAGAGGCCTGCGACCTCTGACATATATAGCAATTGTAAGTCGCTTTGGATAAAAGCTTCAGCTAAATGAAAATGTAGATTGTTGAGGTCATTTTGTCGGAAGTCATCAGAGCCCATTCTACTAGGAGTATGATTTCTACTAAGGCATTGTTATCAAGGGTTTCCTTTCAAGATGCTTGTGATTTGGCCGGCTGGTCCTCTCCATACCCCTTCATCGGGTTCTATTCATACTATCAAGTGCTTGAGACTCAAGTTTGGTGCTTATACAATTCACAACTTTTGTTCAGGCATTTGTTCAGTATGATGTAGTGGCCGAGGATGTTCCCAACATTCTGAAGCAGGGTTGAGTTCCCTTGAAAGGGAACGTGTCAGTTATGACTGTAAAACTGATTCCCTGAGAAGGGAACAAGATGTTGTGTTGCTTTGCCATACTTCCTGCATGCCTCTGAGTGACTTACCTCAGCCTATAGACCTTATGTAGCCCCGCCCCTTCTCAGCGCTGCGCTTGTTGTCTTTTGTCTATCGGTCTGTATTTTCACAGCGATCGTGCGTATCTCAACTGATTTAAACATTGCAATCCTCATGATAACGTTCGTTAACTTTACATTAAGTAAATCCACTTCAAAAGCTAATTACTCATGGACAGATACAGACCGACCGTAAAAACGGAAGTTCAAAGACAATATTCTAAAGATGGCTGCGCCCTCGTTTCTTTGGTGCATAAGGTCTATAAGAAGCTAAAGATGTCCTTTACAGCTGTCATCTGTCATGGGACTGTGTCACCAGTGAGTTTGGAGTGATTTCACACATGCATCATATGCAGCGTCTCATTCCCTTCTCAGGGAACCAGAGTTACAGTCCTTAACGAGACGTTTTCGAGAATATTGTCTGGTTTCGTTAATAATAGGGGCATTATCTGTACAGAGGCTTGGCTGATGTGAAGACTATGTTATCATGCACATGAGAGCAAAATGGAGAGATGGAAAAGAGAGAGCGAGTAAATGAGAATTGCTTCAGTGGACCAAAGGACTGCAATCCCATTCCCCCCTTCTCAAACCCATCTCATTTACTTCAGAGGACCCTCTTGAGAACTGACAACTCAAAACAAGATGACAAAGTGCAGTCGTTCACACAAGTTCAACCATCAAAAAACAAAGTACTTCAGAAAACACACAGCCTGTAGCTTGTAATTGCAAATCACCTGTTTAATTCAGACTTCATAAGGCTAAAGGGCAACTGAGGGCCTTATTATTAATGGGATAAATTATTCATGAAGGTGCAGACACATGTGGAAGAGAACTGGGAGGTTAGAGGTTCACTGTATGTGTGTGTGTGTGTGTGGGGGGGGGGGTGGCTGGGTAAGTGTGTGTAGTTTCAGGTGTGCACACATTTGTCCTTATGAAGGACAGCAAGTACATAACTAATGAGATATGAAACCAGAGGAATTCAGCACCTTCTCAAGTCCTTCTTCCCGTAGACTGATCACATCCAGATCGAAATCTGTCCTCAGGCCATTGGTCCTGTTGAAGTTTATCCGTCCGGTCAAGCCGTCCCAGTGGGCCTGGAGGTTAAAGAAACATTTTCATTGTAGCCAACCTGCGACATCCAATGAATTCTTCCTTTCTGGTTAAACAGTGATTATACATTTATCAGAAACTGTAAAATCTATCATTGTCCTTACTAAGATTTTTTTTGTTAAGTTACTTAAAAATCTTAGTAATCTATACTGTTTGCATGCTATGCCTTCATTAAAACCCTTGTAAACAGTACTTGACTGGTTTGAGTACCATACTATATATATATATATATATTTGATTATTTGACCATTACAATTTTGTTTTGCTATCTTTTGTAAGTATAACCCCAATAATGATAGCAAATAAAATTGTAATGGTAAAATAAAGCCAAAAATAGAAAAAAACAACCAATTAATTTATGCATGCCGCAATGCACTCTGGGAGTACACTTTCCTAGATCATAGACAGAATTAAGTTGACAAAACTTAAATGGATTCAGTAAGAATAACTTGATTAAGTTAAGTTATGCTTGCTTAATGAAATTGAGGCAACAAGTTTGCATAATAAAATTAAGTAAACTGAATTAATTGGTTTTTACAGTGTACGGTTCACACTTTCGTCATTTTTTTTTTTCAAATCTGATCTGCAGGACAGACTGTTCACATTGTCTTTTTACAGCTCATGTGTTTAGATCCGTTTGGTTCAGACCACTGTAATTATAGTTAACTAGAACACAAACCATAAAAAACTTCTGTTACTTGAAAATTAAATACAATAAAATATATTTCAGCTAGTTGCCAAGGGAGCATTTCTCATTTTATTTTAGTTTAAATTGATGTAATAAAATAACTAAATCTAAAAGTGAAATAAAATCATTAAAAGCGTCTGGGCATTGACAGAAATTTCATGATTCGACATCGACTCACAAGCTTACGATTCAATTTAATTGCGTTCTCGATTTAGAAGTACGCATTTTTCTCAAGGGAAAAAAAAATATCTCTAAATTAAAGCTGTAAAGTACACAAGGAACCCTGTCAGTTGGTATCATACGTTGTCTGTTTGTGTCATCTTACTTTCGTTTTCATTACTTTTCCTTTTAGTTCATTCTGTTTATCCACATTGGCTGTCATGAGGCCGTGTCCAGTTTCATGTCATTTAAATGTTATCGTGACAGCCAACGTCAAAACCAACCACATGACAGTTTAATGTAATGTTAACCCATGAAGCTAAGTGGTTTCTTAAGTTTGATCATTAATCTGCTATGTCATGTTTATGACAGGTTGTGTTGTCTTAATAATGTCAAATTGTCATGACAAAGACACTGACAGGTAATGATGTATTGGTGTATGTCAGTTTCATGACACTTGATGAGATACCTTGATTCACAAGAGTTGAATGACACTTAATGACAGTTGTTATAAACATGCATAAACCCTCCTTTATATTCATTACATATGTCATGTCATGGTTATGAAGGTGTCATGTCTTATGCACACCCCTTCAAGTAAAGTGTTACAGTTTTTTTTTTCTGTGGTGTATTTAGTGTATATGCGACTGTATTGCTACTGTATATGTTACTGTATTCTACTGTTAGACTATTAAAATAAACTATTGTGCTTTAAAAATGTCTATTTCCAGGAGAATCAAAACGAAACACCCGTAAGTGTTAGATGCAATAATATAGATTGCAAATTACAGGTCAGGTGTGATAACAGATAACATCCAATGGTACAATGGGAATTGTACGGTCTGCTAGTGCAGTTGCAGTATGGATTTGTGTTTTTATGTGTGTGTGTGATTCATTGCTGCAATGCATCAGAAAGTTTTTAGTCCCCACAGTGCATATTCTGTAAACGCTGCATCAGTTTTTAGGGCAGCACCAGGTATCCATCTTGATTAGTGCTTTGGCATTTTCAAAGACGGTGAAATGTCGTCAGACTAAGCAGCCCTCTAATTATCATTTCCAATAAAAACCTCGGCACAGCCTCACCGGTCGTTCCGCAGCCGCAGGCTCTACTTGCAGTCTAGACAAAGCAGATCCAGAGGAGGGCAGGGGGTCTGGAGCGGGGTCATCACCAGCACAGATCTGAGTCACCGGCTTACGCAGAGAAGACCACCTTGGTTTTATGTATTTATATCTTGCCTTTGGTCTTAGCTGGCTGGTTAAGATATCATGCACAGCAAATAGAAGAAGGGTTTTTAGCCTGTCTAAATATACAGGCAGCAGAATGACAGGAGAGTTCAGATTAGCCGTCCTAGTTTTCCCGAAAATAGCACGGAGAAGAATTATTTCCAGAGATTAAGATGAATTTGCTGTCTTCTGCGCGGCAGTGCTCTCACGGAGTGGTATTCCAGGTCAGAAACAAGCAAACGCGCACACACGCGGTATTTCAATACAAAAAAGGCAAACACGTCTCCTTGCAACTTAGTTTTATTATAGATAAGCCACTTTATTCATAAAATAATGTGTCTGATGCAATTAACATCATTAACACTTGCTGAAAGTTTAATTCAAAGCACATTTTCTATTGATCATGGCAGCCATACAATGGCGAAAACATTAGGAATGTATTCAGAAACGCTGTGAAGATGAAAGCATTTTCAGCACTTTATAGAGTGGATTGTGGTGGCTGGATCACTGTGATGGAGAAGTCATCTTATGGTCATCTGCCGACCAATTATTACAAATTTGTACGAGTGAGTAAAACGTGGCTGACTGGGGCTTAGACGAATTGTACGAATTCATACGAGTGAAGTCGTACGCATTGGTACGATTTGTCTAAACCCCAGTGACGGTTAGGTTTAGGGGCGGGATCATGGGGTAGGTCATTCGTATGAATTTATACAAATTGGACAACTCGTAAAATAAGTACGATTTAGCAAAAATCCTTCATTTGGGAGCAACGCAAGTGCCTGTGTTTATGAATGAGTCACTGAATAAATGACTCGATTCATTCAGTAATGAAACACCACCGTTGCACAATGGTGGCTTTGTTTGGAACTAATTTCATTGGCAAAATGCAAAAAGTAGAAAAAAAGAGTGTCTCAAAAATGTAAATTGTTTATTGATGAGTTGTATAAAATCAGTCTCACTTTTAATATTCGTCTGACAGTCTTGCTCATGTGATATTGACTATTTTATTAAAAACAAAATCTCAATATGGGACATTTTCTCCACCATATCTCGAATTGTGGTGGCATTTTTATTATTTTGTTGTCATTTTTGCCCCAAGCCCCCATTAATATCCAGCTTCCGATAAATCCAAATGCAATATTTCCAGTTAATTTATCGGTAAAGAAACAAAAGCACCTCATGTAAACCTATTTAACAAATCTCTGTTGAATCTCTGACGTACAGTCCATTGCACAACTTTGTCACACTAAGGCATGAACACCAGCCGATCTCAGTGCTGATCAACTCATGGGAGTTTTGGTTGTTATCACAGTTGTATTAGACTGCCATCCATGAGCATCGATCAGGTCACTCGCATCCGTTTTCACGGTGCATTCAGTCATTTTCAGTCCTAAATGCAACTAAAATGGGTGGCTATGTAGAGCCCTGATACTGCTCGGGTGCCCAGGAAGAATTTCTTATTATTATTGTAAGGATTTTGGCCAGGCGAATCAAACCGTTTTCTGAAACACACACACGCACACACAAACCTTTCACTTCCCCCCACACATCGGAATGTGTGGAATGTTTTTGAACAAAGAGAAGGACTTTTGGTGTTTAAAAACATTCAACAAAATGTTTTCAATGGTTTTTATGTATATGTGTCTTCCCCATGTCACAGTGAAATAACTTTGTTTGGTCACAGTTTAAATAGGAATTAAAAATACCTTCGTCATGCATTTGAAACATAAGTGTATATTCCTTTGATATAACATAATGTTCCTTGATATCTCTAGAATGCTTATTGAATGAAACACTCGAATATGCATAGAGATGTAAAGTAAAGTGTATTTTTAATTCGTTTTACTGCCAATGAAGATCAAATTGTTATTGCAAACTCTCGTCGAACACACCCCCTTCCACGAGAAGCGCGCGCTGAGGAACAAAGGACCATAAAAGAAGGCTTCCCGCGTGCAACATCCACTCTCCGATTGGCTCAAGCCAACAGGAAGGGGATGGATTTCTCCAAGGTGATAAATGTGAGAACGCAGGTCCGCCCTCGCTCTCTTCCGAACTCTCCAACGCTCCTTCAACATGTAAACCTCACGGGATTCTGATCCAACCATGGATCATTTCCTTTGTTCGTCTAAAAGTTTCGTCTTTTCCTCAAATGGACTACAAAGTTCGTCTCACAGGAAAGGAAGTGGACTTTGCCGAACTATTTCCTCGGGTAACGTCACCTCAAAGACCTTCAGCCTTTCAAACACTGGCGCTAAACGCCGACGAACGCCACGTGACTCCCCACGGAACAAAGCAGCCATGAACGAGTCGGGACGGGCCGCGCAAACACGCCGCGGCCACGCTTCACGTGACGCACGCGCGCAGGACAGGCGCAACTCCCGCCGACACGTGGCCCGAACGGGCCGAGCAACGAGACCGCGACTCACACAGACCAAATGTGCCCTGCAAGTATACCTTCTTTTAGAGCTTCTAAGAAGCATTAAGAAAGTGTTTTCGTGGCATTCAGAAAGGTTAACTGACTGTTTTGTGGCAACGTAACCCACTCTCTCTCACTTGCTCTACAACTCACTCTATCTCACTCTCTCTCTCTCTCTCTCCAACTCACTCAACTTACGCGTATCCATTGTCTAAACGCTCTGCGTCGTCTTAGTTTGTGTTTAATGTTTGTAAATACATGTATCATTGTAACGTAGTGAAGGCTTAAGTAGTAACTTTATTAAATACAAAATATGCTTACCTTGACTGATTGTCTTGCTCATAATACGGGTCAATGAAATGTCAATTTAAAGCTACACGCTTTACAGAACTATAAATATTTAAGAGGGTATTTGGTTATAGAGCAGGGAAGGCAGATTCTAGTGGCCACAGAATTTGTTTTCACACGCTATATAACTTAATTGAGCTAATTGATTTTGCCTGTCTTGTAAAACGTGGTCCTTGCAATCAATAACAATTAATTTGTGGTTGATTGCGGGGATGCACATGTATGCATATGGGTAAAATTAATAAATTAACATGTAAGACCGGTCTGATCCAAATCTGTATGAATAATTATTAATTATCGATTATTAATTATGATATGCAAATTCCCCCCCTGATCAGACCCGCCTTGTGTCTTTACATTATGTTGAAAACGTTTATGAATAGAAAAGTTCATTAACTAAAATTAGAATTATTTGGTAACACTTTATTTTACAGTATCCTTACTGTATGTTACATGTACTTACCGTAGTAATAACAGTAAATTATGCATAATTACATGCAGTTAACCCTCAACCAAACTCTAATCCTATAGTAAGTACATGTAGTTAATTATTCTTACTCAGTACTTAAAGGTGCATTGCGCAAGTCTCTGAGTTTTTGCAGAACTACGCCACCTCTGTCGACAAGCGAAACTGCAACCAGAGGTGTGCGCGCTCATGGACACACACACACGCTTGCACTTTTGTTACAGTCATAATGAGGTAATAAAGTTATAAATCTGCAAGTCATTTAAAATGTATGAAAGGAAAGGCATTCGAGTAAATTACACACTTATGTGTGTGTGAGGGGGAAACGTTTTTTTTTTTTTTTTTTTTTTTTTGCTTTTTTCCATCTATCTCCATGTTGAACTGTTTTATGTGTTTCCTGTATCCACTTATGATTGTATTATTATGGAAACACGTTCATGAACAATATAAGTTATTACGTTGTACAGGACCCCTTTGAGACCTAGCAGACCTGTTTGTTGAAAACTCCCCAATGTCGACTCTCGTCTTATTCTGACGCCTGGCACTAGACAGAAGTTTTCTTTTCTTTGTCTTATGTGGAGTTTGCGTCGGGGCTTGGAATGAACTACAAGCCGGTGTGTTTGAATCCATCTTCTACTTTTGTGGAAAGTTGACAAAAGTGTCGCTTGAGTTGTCTTCGCTGATACGGAGAATGGCGGCGAATACACAAACCTGCCAGACATCGCCAGGCGAGCGTGAACGCGCATGACGTCACGCCAGTCTCAAACCCGTCCCGAATCCCTCTCTATTTCACTGTACAGGATTATAGAGGCGATCGCAGTGATCTGAGAAGGGCTCATTCAGCCCATCAGGCAAGTGTTTAAGCATGAATGGGTTAGAAAAACATGTAATGTAGCGCACTGTACCTTTAAATATACACTGACACCTTAAAATAAAGTGTAACCAATTATTTTTAAACAATCTAAAAGACTTTACTGTCTCTTTTGGTCAATTTAATGTGTCCTTATATTAAGTAAATGCCATTAATTAATATTACTATTAATATTGATGGGTCTTATTTGTGTAATTACACTGTAAACTGTTTAGATTGAAGTCTAAATGAAGAGTGTGATGAGCAGTACCTCTTTGATGAGCGCTATGAAGCGGTTGCCGAAGCGCCAGGGTTTGTGGCGGTTACACTGGAGTGAACTGACGGTGATCTGCGGAGACTGCTGGACGGCCACGGCCACCACATGTACCGCGTCGTACATCAGGGCAGCATCTGTCTGGAAACACACACACACGGGTCAATCGGCCATCAGCAGAACACCTGAGGCTCACCAGTGATAATTAATCGAGCCCTTAAAAACAGGCTAAAACATCAGTGTCAAGATTCAGAGTAGCCTTCAGCTTTCTGCCACACCAACACACACCAAAGACCTCTCATTCCACAGACCAAAATAAAATCTAATTAGTGTTTGCCTTGGATGATTGAGAAGCAATCACAACACCTCCCAGACTGGGCCGGTATGGAAATCATGCCTGAGGGGGCTTCAGAAATTGCTATCCTGTCAAATAAATCATAGCCAAACCTGTAATTTCCCACTTTTTGTCTCTGATTGTATGCCGCGAGGTTGTGGCTAAAGATGGCTCTGCCCGATTGATACTGCAACTTCACACACTTCACGGGCCGCCTATTTGTATGTTTGCAGGGAAATAAATCAGAATGGCTGAAGATCACAGACTGACCACAGTAAGACCAATAATTGAGGACAAACACCCATAACTATGAAGGTAACAACGAAAGTGGCAAAACCCAAGAGATTATAGATTGAATTTTAGAACTTGCTCTAAATATTATCATCGACCTATAAAACGTCTGCATTCCCACTCAGTATTGCAACAGGAATAAAGCGCAGTGGATAAGACACATGCCTTTGGTGTGAGAGACCCGGGTTTGAATCCACTGTGAGACACCAATGTGTCCCTGAGCAAGACACTTAACCCCTAGTTGCTCCAGAGGCGTGCGACCTCTGACATATATAGCAATTGATAAAAGCGTCCGCTAAATGAAGAAATGTAAATGTAGTATCAAGAGTCAAATTGCTACGATTGCTAAGTTGTACTGCAAGATGTAAAGCATCACCGAGTACCTTTTCCTCTACGGTCGCCCTACAGGTTGGAAGCGGAACTGTCCCTTACCGCTGTCGTAAATAAATTAGCCTTCCGCAGCTCACTGTTGCACGCGCACACTCGCTGTTCATCCAGCAGCGGCTCTGGAATCAACAATGGCAGTCATCCCAACCTGCAAGAAGTCATTTCAGGGAGGTATATCTTGGTGAATGAATTGTTGCAATGGGCACAGACAATTTGAGGAAGTGATGGGGGTAGTGACGTTTGCCGTAACGCAGTCGAATTTAGTTATTTTTGTGCTCCCGTTACTACCCGAAACCCAAAGTTACAGCCCATTCTCATCCAAAAGCGTCATATACTGACGTTTTTGAAATTTCGTCTATATCCGACGCACATGGGACCCTTTAGCGTCAATATGAAACACAGATATATATGTGCAAGAAGGCGCCTCCTAGTGGTGTAACCCTAACCCTACCCCAGACCTAAACCTACCCATAACCGAAGCGTGTTATATTGACGCTAAAGGGTGCCATGTGCATTGGATTTAGACGCAATGTCAAAAGCGTCACTATATGACACCCTAGGATGAGAATGCGTTAAAAATTGCATAGTGCAAATAAAAGCAATGAAAGGCAGACGTGGAATTTAACTTATTGTTAGTCGATGTACCATCACAAGGGTCTTGGAAATATATTCTGAAGTTTGAAAAACGACATAGTGTTACTTCAGACTTGTGATTGTATAGCAAAATTGTTGTAAAGTGTAAAAATATGTAATACAAATATGTGTATGTCTTTCTGTTTATGTACTTTAAATGTATTTTCACACGTTTTTATATGCAACTTCAAATTAATAACAGTGTTTGGATTATGTCTGCGTGTGCAAATTTAAAACTTACAAATATGAATTGCACAAGTTCGTGAGTTTTGTTTTGTTACTCTTTTACATTCATAACAGCCTAGGCTCAAAATACTTACTAGAAAACAGTACTAATTCCCTAATTCTCAAACAAAACTTTATTGTACTGTATATTGAGACATACGTCACTCAGTCAAGAATGTTTGTTAGAAACATTATAGAGTTACACTTTATATTAATAGTCCACTTTAGACATTCTACTAAGTATATGTAACTTTGCAACTACATGTCAACTAACTTTCATTAGAGTATTAGTAGACTGGTAGGGTTTGGGTTTTTAGAATAAGTTGACATGTAGTTGCAAAGTTACTTATAGTTAGTAGAATATCTGTTGAGGACCGTCACAATAAACTGTGTGCAGATATTAAGCAGATACTTAATTTCTACTAATACTCTAATGAGAGTTAGTTGGCATGTAGTTTCAAAGTTACTAATAGTTTGAGCATCATAGTATCGACTGTGTAACATTGGCGGTCTGTTTAGATTTCTGTTGTTGTCGGGGTCTGGTTATCTGTTTATTAGTTCAGTTTAGCCTTCGTCCGCCTCCGCCTGTTTGTTTCTCTGGTTACAGATTGATTAGTTAGTTCTGTCTCATCTTATCTTGTTAGCTCTCCGGTTTGTCTGTGTATTTAAGCCCTGTGTCTAGTTCAGTTTCTGTCAGTTGGTTGTTCCGTTCCTGAGTCTTGTTCTTGAGTCTGAATTTGTGAAGGTTTGACTTTGTTTAATAAGACTGCACATGGATCCGGCTTCCTCCTCTGCTTCAACCAACGTGACAGCTTGTATATTAATCTTGATCACGATTTCTCTCTCAATCAATTATGCATAAACGTCTGTGATATTGCCCAGCTTATTTATCTTATTTTTTTTATTTTTTATTTCTATGATCTTACATTCATTTGATATTTTCATTATCTTGCATACCTATAAGCGTGGGCTTGCCAGATCAAGAGTTTGTTAAGGAGAGCTTCAGAACGATTGCATTCCTTGATTTCCAAGATCCTAGACTGACATTGAAGAAAGGATTTCGGTTATCATTTAATCATCATTTCTTTTTTTTTCTTTTTTTATAAATAATATGTATATCTCTCTAACTGTGTGCCTCATCTCTTCTGGTATATAATGTATATAATCCAATCAATTTACGATGTATAAAATAAATATTTTTAAACGTATCACTTTTTGTTGAAAACTTGAATCTATAAGTAAAATATAATAAACTCCTGCTTCAACGGGATAGATGCCTTTGACGATGAATAAGGGTCTTATCAAGTGAAACGATCGCTCATTTAATAAATAAATAACAAAGTTTAAGTTTAATAAGCTCTTACGCTCACCTTCCTCTGTTCTGTGATGCACGTTAGTGACTCTCCTGTTCGAACTCGTTCATCAAAATGAATAAATCTTTTTCCGAGTCATTTGGTTCATTCAACGAACGAAACGAACAAATTGACTTGGAAAAAGATCGAACAGTTCAAACAGGAGAGTCACGAACGCGCGTCACAGAACAGAGCAAGGCGAGCATTTGAGCTTATAAAACTTAAACTTTTTATTTATTTATTAAATGAGTGATCGATTCGCTTGATAAGACCCTTATTCATCTGGAATCATTTAAAGCCCTTTGAACAGTGTCTTTTGGACCTTGAACTGTTTGGACCCCATTGAAGTCCATTATATGGAGAAAATCCTGGAATGTTTTCATCAAAAACTTTAATTTCTTTTCGACTGAAGACATCTTGGATAACATGGGGGTGAGTAAGTCATCAGCAAAAGTTTTTTTTTTGTTTGTTTGTTTTTCAAAAGTGAACTACTCCTTTAAGAGATGTTTTTGAAAATCTACAAATGCAGAAAGTTTTCTTTGAGGGTTGAGGATCTAAAACGGATTGAAGTACAGCTGACAAGTTCACCGGGAAAGAAAACACGCTTTCTCCTGTAGAATCCAGATGGTGTTTAAAGCTTGGCCACTAGCAGATATGTTACTCGGCTGAAATGAAACCAATAGTCATTTTATTGAGAAAACATATTGTACTCTTTTGTTGATGTGAAATGCCCCGTCAATTATAGAGTGAGCCGACTCACTGCTAGCTGGTGTAGCCTCCGACAAGGTTAACTGATGACCGAGGGGAGGAAACAACCACTATGATATTAATAATCTCTCCATGAGCGAGTGTTGATGAAAGTGAATGGGTGTGAAGACGCCTCGGGAGAAGAACAGTCCGCTTTCGGCCCAGGGGTTTTAGTCACCAGCTGCTGGTCAAAATGACTCGAGGCTGCTGTGTGTCTGTGAGTGTGTGTGTGTGTGTGGAAAGTTTGGCTTGTGGCTCTTTCACACCACCACAAAGCTGTCAATCACCCTCCTACCTCTTCCTACACTAACACACAGATCGGCTTCATAATCACTTGTCCGCCATTCCACGCCTGTCAATCAATCAGGATGCGAAGGGAGCGCAAAGTGGCAGCCACTGGTCTTGGAGGGAGATGAGACACGGGACGAGGTGTTGTCAGGAAGGAACGTGCCATGAATTCACATGACCGATCGCCATCCCCCTCTTTATGGCATCCGGCTGGGCCATTAAAAGGGGACAGCCGAGACTGGGTCCCTGCCGCCTATCTGTGGAGAATACACATTATCCTAAGTCACCCGGCCCACCAGTGAGGCAACGTACGTCAATGAGCCCGGCTTATGCATTGTGAATAATAAATAAGTAATAACATCAGACAAACAGAAGACAGGGCCTCCACCTGAATACGAAATGAACGCTCCTATTACCAGCCTGTGTGTGTGAGTGTGTATTAGCGCAGCTTTGTGTGAGGGAGCGGGGGGGAATCAAAGCCCAGGGTGTGTGTGGGCTCTCCTGGGAGCCATGCTTTGTTTTCTTCAGATTTTCATCAAAGCATTATGGATCTGTCGGCATGCCTTACTCTATACCAAAGCACAGCAGCCAGCCCATAAATACACACTGAAGATGAGAAACTGGTAAAGACTTGTAAAACATGCTGGCTAGGGATGTCAATTTACATGAATTCCCATTATCAATCCTTGTTTAAATTAACGATAAATTAATTGATTAATCGTTAACCTTAACCTCTTACATCCGGAGCCTAGGGGGCCGGCTACTAAGTTATCAGATTACTTAACTAGTCGTAGACCCATGAATGAGGTGTCAAATCGACCGGCTCATTGAGGAGAGGTGCGTTATGTCTTTTCTAAGCGATCGGTTGTATGATGTTCGTCCAG